AACTCCATGAGAGCTGTTTCTGTATGGCGGCTGACAAAGACATTAACGCCGTCCGATTCTTTGGAACCACCGCAGTCGTGTGTTTGAAGGAGAGTTCTTTTGGTTTTCTTTACTTCCTGGTTCTTATATCCTGTTCCGGTGGTGCATGCTGATATTAACCATGAATAAATAACAACGTCAGTGAACATACAGTAAACCCTGTGAGCTAAAAACTCAGACTGCCAATCATAAAGACAAAATCTTTTTTTTTTTGTTGCCATTTTTGGATCTGCATGATGTCATGAGGAGGACGGGCACCTCAGGCACAGTAACCATATTGATCATCTATTTGCAAAGCATGCCCAATCAGAAGAACGTTTACCTTTAAAAGGGGGAGGGGCTAAGACAGCTTGTTTCAGACAGATGATGAGCTGAGGGACCCAGGATAAGATAAAGAAAGATTAGCTTGAACGGAGAATCATGCAAAGCTCTCCTGGTGGAGTTAAAGCGGAAAATTATGGAGATGGAAATGATCCAACGGGTCTTTAATGTAAATCCACCTTAATGTGTAACACTGGTTGGCTTATTTACCCACTCAACATGATTGTGAATGTTTGAACCCTGAATTTCACGCACACACTGACTGTGGGTCAGTTTTTAACTTGGTCAGAGAGAAAATGAATGAATAATCAGAAGTTTGAGAAAAGTAAGTGCTGCAGTAACGAAAGCTCAGCGGCTCACTCAGACTAACCAGTCAAACTTACTGTAACATCCTGATGTTAAACATCAGCAGGCAGACAGCGAGTTTGGATAAAAGTCCTCAGTGTGTGTCATGTTTTCAACATTAAAGTCTGATTTATTTTATTCTGTCCAAAGACACACGCAGCAGTTTATTCTGATGCACTCACAGCCGAAACGTCACCACAGCACCAAACAGTGAGCTGAAATGATGAAGCTGAAGTGGATTTAAGGTGGAAAGTTGTATAGAAACATTCTCTTGTAATGAGAGAACTTAGTAAACACTTCTTCCTGGGTTCGGTGCCCTTCAGGGATCACCATCTCCTCCTATCCCAGCCTCCTCTGCGGTCACACCAACCCTCTGCACGTCCTCCTTCACTACATCCATGAACCTCCTCTGTGCTCTTCCTTTCTTCCTCCTGCTCGCTCCATCGTCATCATTCTTTCCTATCGGCTTTCCCTTTGCCAGCCATAGTTCCTACATTTAGAGTCCCTGCTCTCACCTCCACGCTCCAGCCTTTCCTTCTCTCTCTCTGCCTCCTCCTTCTCCTCCTCTTCTGTCTTCCGCCGGTGCCCTGCTGGTCAGCAGCACCAGTGGCGGCCGTTGTTAACTCATGCCCCGACTGATCCGGTACGGAAATCTCATTCATTCTACCTAATTTGCCCGGGGTGGGCACCGGCACTGTGGGGGCAGAGCTGTGAAAGAATTTAAACATAAATTTTCTGTGGCTGAGAGAATGAAATCAAATCAGCAGAGAAAAAAAATGAAACAATTGGATATAAATAAATGTGATAATCGCATTTTTTTAGGATGTTTGAGCCTTTTTTAACATTTTAAACTGAACATTTATGATTTGATATCTGTTAAACAGGAGAACAGAACAACGCAGTGACCTACTAACATGTGCTTTGACTCATCATGACTAAAAGAAGGACAATGTTGTGTTTTATGCCAAATTTCTCCAGTTCCAGGATTTCCCCAAATATGTTTCAGGGGCCTAAAAGAGTCAGGGAAACGGGGCCTGAGTCAGGATTTACGCTCATGTTGTTATTCTGTTTTCAGTCCGGTCAGAGAGAAGATCTCTGCAATCAGTGGGTGACTAAACGTGCCGTTCATATCAAAGACTTGTAATTCTAAATGTCTGTTTCTTTCACTCTGGTAGATAAAGTACACTCAGGTTACGGTGGCTTCAGTTTCAAACTTTAATCTCACTGCTCGGAATAGTTTGATTTTTCCTCACGGCTGGACACATCACTGATACCGACGATTATTTCTGATGAGCCGCAGCGTGCTGATCAGGCTCGCAGTACTGGTCTTTGCCCACTGTGTGGCGCCCTGTGTCTGTAGACTGAGCCCTCCTGACTGCAGCTGCTGCTTGAAGTCACTTGTGAATTTATGTTTTTAGCAGCAGTGTTACAGAACAAAGCAACATCTGTGTTTCATGCACGACAGATTATCCTGTTTATTATGAAGAATTAATAAAGTCATTAAAGTGAAAAAATAAAACGCAGGTAAAGGTGTGTTTATCTTTGAATGTTGGAGATCCGTCTTAAAGGTTAAAAGGAGATTTAAATGCGCATGTGTCTGTGCAGCGTATGTCTAAATGTGCGTTTAGTGCTCGTGTGGTCGCATCCCGCTCGTCCAATCATTGTTCTCGTAGGTCTGCCTCGGAGAACAGGCCTGGCAGCGGCTCTTAAGCCAGCTCCAGGATGGTTTGAAGACAGATGAAGGGTACTCGATGAGGGACTCTGGAGTTCCACGGTTACTTGGAAGCAGTTCCAGGGGGTCCATGGTGGAGGCCTCGGGTGTTTTTAAGTGAGTGCCAGGGCATTTGGAGAAGTTCCTGGGAGGGTGTGGGAATAAGCAAGGTGCATCTAAAGGGAGGTTCAATGAGCTGCCTGACGTGCAGGCTGGATTCCAGAGCCGTCAGGTTTTTCTAATGAAGATTGTTATAATTAAAGTTCAGGTCATTTTCAAAGGTTCCAGCAAACAGTCCTGCTTCTGAGAAGACACCAATGGAAGGAGGTAATGACCTCCTTCCATTGGTGCTCTTGGAGTTGTTAGATGAAGTTGGAAGAAATTCTACCACGTGCGTTTTCCAGGATGTTTTCTTGAAGATGTTCTGAAATTCCAGGCAGGTCCAGGTTCACGTGCAGCAGTTTATTGGAGTGTTTTGACAATTGTGATGGTTTGAGGATGTTTGGGTGGTTATTAAAGTTTCTCAGGTGGTGTAGATGACAGTTTATCAGATGTGAGGGCTTTGAACAGTTTTCATTGTGTTTAAAAAAATAATTATAGAAGATATTGAGAAATTTTGTTTTCATATTCCAGGATATGCTGGAATTCAGGGTCAGCTCACTGGATTTTTTTCAGGCAGTTCTACGAGGGACATTTAGGTGATTTTTAAAGATTTGGGGATTTCTGTGTGGGAGAGAGGAGTTTAACTACAGGAGTATTTAAGGGAGGTCCTTGTCGTCTGGTGCTTTTTCTTAGAGGCTGGCGGTTCTTGATCTGTAGTTAATCGGCCTTTATGAGTCCCTGGAATGTTTCAGGTTTTCCAGGAAGGTTTCTTTAGCATATGCTGCAACTACAGGTGGGCGAGGTGCACCTGAAGCAGCTCCTGGTGCAGTTTTAGATCCTTGTTTGGATTTTAAGGGATGTCAGTTGACTTTTAAAGGTTTCCTAAGGGTCGTGGGGGTTTCAGCATCATATTTAAGGATTTCAAGGATTCCTTGAAAAGACTTCAGATTTGAGGGGCTGTTTTATTTGGCAGCAGGCTTCATTACCTTCAAGTAATATTAAAGAATCAAAAGCACCATCAAAATAAAACAAATTTACATTAAATGAAATTAATACTGAAAATTAAAAAACAGCTTTCATCCCCCACAACCTGTAAAAATGATTCTCAGGGTGGAAACAAATAAATTACATTTATTATAGCGCCAATTTCATTAATAAACCTGAAATTTTATTTAACATAAGGTCACCACGTAAGGCACATAATTACAGGCTACATATTAAAGCTGTAAAATAATTTTTATAATGAATATTTTCGCGAGTCTGTTGCCGTCTGGTTTCTAATCCGGCCCGTCTTCATCACCCTCCTCTTCATCGCCAACATGTTTGCAGCGTCTCATTGACTTTTTCTCTCCCTACACAGAAGTATTTTTCCAGGCTTTCCAGACGTTTCTGTTTCCCTGGAGGGAGGCAGCGGGCTAAAGGAGGATAAATATTTAATCAGCGCTGCTCTGGAGTTTTTGCTTAATTAGAGGAATTCTGCTCCTGCCACGAAAACCAACAGAGATGACTGCTGCAGACGTCAGATCAGGCAAAACAGCGAGAGACGAGCTGAAAACGGTTATTACGGTACCGTTATCATTATTATCACTGTTATTATTATCATTATTATTATCACTGTCGCCGGAGGAGGCGTGACAGGTCTTGGAGGTGCTTCTCGCTTTGACTTTGAAATCAAACACACATTTTAAAGCGGTGTGAAATAAAACAGCTTATTAGCGGTTTCCCTCCGGGTGTGTGTGTATGTGTGTGTGAGAGAGAAAGAGAAAGAGAGAGAAAGAGAGAGAGTGTGTGTGTGTGAGAGAGAGAGAAAGAGAAAGAGAGAGGGAGAGAAAGAGTGTGTATGTGTGTGTGTGAGAGATAGAAAGAAAGAGAGAGAGAGAAAGAGAGAAAGAGTGCGTGTGTGTTTTTGAGCGCCATATGTCCGTGCGTAAAAAGCGCACTCTGTTGTGGTATTTGCGTGCCGCCGTGTCGGTGAGGCTGCACGCGGGATGACAGAGGAGATTACTCCGCGTGGGGCCCGTTAATCCCGCGGGTTGGCGGCTTGTTATCAGGTTCGGGGTGAAACGCGGAGCCCGCGCGGGCCCGGAAGGTTCGGATGAAGCGAGGGTGCGAGGGCCGGAAGTGACGGCAGCAAGTGTGAGACGAGTGTCAGGTACCGGTGTACCTGCGTGGCCCGCTCTGGTCTCGCGCTGGTGTTGCTTTGATTCTTTTACTTCTTCAAACTTCATTTTTCACAGCGCGCGCGGCCCAACACGCGGAAACCCTTATTTGGCGCGCGGTTTGCAAAACAATGACGCAACGCGAGCTTTCAGCCAATGAGCAGCCAGAGGCGCGACCAGTATTCAAACGAGCGGCCCATATTTGGTGTCTGCCCCGCCCCCCCAGCTTCGCGTCGGTCCCCCGGGAGCTCCGGAGCCCCGGACCCCGGGAGAAGGAGCTCTCCGCCGGGACGGAGGAGCCATAAAGAGCCGGGGAGGGAGGGGATGAGATTCCTCGCTGCCCAATCCCCCTGCTCCCCCGGGAGCAGCAGCCTTCCTCGGCCCGGCCCTCCCTCTTGTTTGCTAATCATTTCATTTTACTCCTTTTTGAAGCGCTCGCCTGTTTTTTTATCCCACTTTTCATTTTTCCACAATCCGCGGCTGCTCGCCTCCCTCTGATCCCGGCTCTGCCGCTCCGTTCTCGCGGCGTCAGGCTGATTCTCCGCCGCCTCCTCTGAGATGCTCTCCCCGCTCTCCGCTCCTCTCTCCGACCGCCTTTAACTTCACACGGGCGCAGCTTTAAAGCCCGGACTGCTGCGAGCCGGGGCTGGGATCTAAAACAACCCCGGAGACACCCACAGGGATCCGGGGCTCTTCTCTGGATCAGGACCCGGTACTTTGGGGAAGCTCGCTCGCTCGTGTGCCCCCCCACCCCACCCCTCCTCCTCCCCTCCTTCCTCCTCTTTTCTCCACCTTAATCCAGGTGGTCCTTTGGCTTTTTGAGTGGCTGGTACAGGGAGGATTATTCTTCTTCTTCTTCTTTCGTGTTTCTGGTGAAGACAAAGCTCCCAGAAGGACACTTTGATGTTCTCCATCCAGGACAGCCTCCCCCGGGGGGCCCTAACCATGAAGGAGGAGCCGCTCCCCACCGGCATGACCCCGGTCCGCTCGTGGATGCAGGGCGCGGGGATTTTGGACGCCAACACAGCGGCACAGAGGTAAAAATCCCACAAAAGCACGCGGGCGACTTTTCGTGAGTGTGCCAGTGAGTGAGTGAGCGTGACAGTCCAGGTGAAGGTGGCAGTTTGCATCTTGCAGGATCTGAAAAGTGTCGCGCGCGGGGGGCAAAAAGAAAAAGGCAAAGTTAAACCAGCGCGAGGACGATTCCCACGCGCTCCGCTCCTCTAAAACTTCAGAACGATAAAAATCCGGTTTGTAAAGTTTGACTTTGAGGTTCAGTGTGAGGTTCAGAGTGAGTCCGAGAGGCTCGGAGAATAAAAATGATCAAAGGCGGAAGCCTCCAAAATAATCAAACCTGTGGGAGCGCGAGGCGCTAAGCGCCTGGGCGCAGCTCCTCTCTGCCGGGGTCGGCTCCAGCGGCTGCCCGCCGCCTGCGCTCCACAAACCTCAGCGTGAAATACCGTCCACGGCTCCCACCCCGCGGACCAGAAGACACGGTGCGCACACAGAGCGCGAGGAGGCTCGAAGCCGCTGCCCTGAGAACAGCTCAGAGAATAATTCTCACGATCACAGCAAACCATTAAAACCCAGAATTAATTTATTAATAATCCCGAATTACAGAAAGTTAACCCCGCGTGAAGGAAAATAACCCCGCGTGAAAGTGGGTCACAGGTTAAAGGAAGCCGAAAGCAGAAAGTCTTCATTTAAAATCACTTTGAAACGATTTTTGTGTTTTTACTATTTTTTATTTTCAGGTTAAATTAATTTCAAACTGCAGCTTTAATTTAACAACAAAAACACTCATTCAGCTTTTAATTAAAATCTCGCTCTTACATTTTTTATACTGACAGTTTTTACATTTAGGTTTTTTCACTATAAACTCCACATTTTTATTTTTTTTCTACTGATTAAAACGCGACGCAGAATCTGAGAGTTTAAACTGCTTAAAGCATCTCCGGCTGAAATCTGACCGCCTCACTCAGATAAATCAATGCGCGCTTTTCTGCTTCAGGTTTAAATCACCTGAACACGAAGAGAGGAAAAAAAATCCATCAGCAGTCTGAAGAAGCTCCACAGAAACCGCATCCGTCCACGGCGTGGGATGGCCTCTGACTCCCTGTAAACTTTAAAACATCTCCTCCTGAATTTGTTCTGTGGTTTAAATCCGTCCGAGCTCCTCACCTGCACACATAATCACTAACATTATTTTCTCAGCTCATCAAAACGCGTCAGTAAAAACATAAACACATGGGCTGAAGCATATTTGTAGTTTATAAATCCAAAATCTTCAGTTTAATTTTAGATTTATTAATAAAATACCATTTTTAGCTTTAAAATAAGGAAGAATGAGATCTGAAGACTAAAGTGTGTGAAACCTGCACAATAAATACATTTTGCATACCTAATTTTGCACAAAGTGAAGAGCTAAGCAGATATTTATGACAGATTTTTTTCAGACCAAAATACAGATAAAAAAATATGTATAAAATAAAATAATTTGCCCTAAGCTGCAGAGGAGGGAGATCTCTGCACTTAATGCATCCAGAGACATCAGATAAAAAAAAAGAAGTATTGCTGCACACAAAACTCCAAACTGCAGATTTTTAAAATAAAATCAATATTGCTGGAGAAAAGCTGAATTTTATTCCTGTTTCTGGCTGAATTTAAACAAAGAGCAACTCTTTGTGTTTTGAATTTTACACTCTGAGGACTTTGAGGCAAACGCTCCTCACGGATACTTAAACTCTCCTGCACATTAACGCTGATCCCGAGCGTCCGTCCTTCATCCGCACGTTGCTTTAATAACTGGATTCAGTGTTTTTGTAGCCTCGCCGTTTCCCGAGCAGGTGGATCTGAGCTCATTGCACCGAGTTGCTTCTCTCTGCTCACGTCCTTTAACTTTCTAAACATCCCGCCAGCTGATCAGTTTAAGCTTTTACTGCCATTGTCTCGGCTTTAAATGTAGAAACTCTCAATCACACAGAGGAGAGGTCGCAGACTGTTTCTGCTGCTTTAAAGAAAATCTGGAATGACTGAAGCTGCACATTTGTAATCTTAAAGCAGCATTTAGAAGTGGAAGCAAATGGACTCAGATGTGTACAGCGTGGGAAAGTTCCCACACTTATTGTGCACACGTTAATCACTGCTTTCTTTTTGTGGATAATATTTAAACGTCATTCAGCAAAAGCTTGAAAGTGACAAAAGCCGGAACGATGAGGAGGAAAGAAAAGAGGGAGAAACCTCAGAGGGATCCTCTTCCAGGACGGACAGATGTGCAGGAGATGCTGTGTGTGCAGCGCAGACAGATGGACAAAGAGTCGAGTTTCAGAAAGAAGAGGCAGAGCGGAATAAAGCACGTCACACCTGAGATGATTCAGATAATCTAACATGAACGAGGGTTTGTTTAATTCTGATGAGGGAGGTTAAATTCACTGCAGTTTGAGGGATTTTTAAATGTCAGGAACAGGACGAGTGATGGCAGGCACTCCAGCTCCTTCAGCCTCTCACAGTGGAAAGCAGTCAGCAATAAAACAATAAAAAATGATGATCTGAGGGTAATTTTCCCCAATAAAAACCTCACTAATTGTCCATCACCCGTGCAAGCGTAGCTAAAGCTGCACGTGCTCAAAGGACACGGGAAAGAAATGTGGCTGAGCTTAGCGGGTCTGAGATGTTTTCTAACGTGACAGGAAACAGCGCCGCTGAAGCTCAGAGACACACGACCACACCAAGACTTAAACACGAGGAGCCAGTCAAAGCTCAAACAGCTGCATCTTTACTCCCGACAGAAATCAGCTTTAGACGCTTGACGGGAGGATTTTTATCCACACGTGATAATCTGATCACATCGAGAGAGGTTTCTGTATAAGACATGGATAAAAAAACACAAACGCAGACGAGCTAAACTGCACGTCTGCGTTAAAATCAGTCCAAACCTGACTGTAAATGTCAAACACAGTCCTCTCAGCATCGTCTAACCTTCAACGACGAATATTCTCCTGAGCAAACATTTTATGCATTTAGATTTAGACCTTTATCGTAACGATTACATCTATAAAATCTGATTCTTTATTTGATCATCGCGTGTCAGATGTCAAACCTGAAGAAACAAACAGCAGGTTTGGGGTGTAAATACGTCAAAAACACTCGTCCGTCTCAAAGCCCTCAGATTTCTGTGAAATCTCGCACGGAGTTTGTTAAATTTTGGGTCAGAAATTGTTTTCTGAGCGTTCCTAGGGAAACTTCCAACGCCGATAAAAAGCTTTAAATTATATTTAGACATTTATGATAATCATAAATCACTGAAAGGAGGGTTATCAGACAAAAAAAAGAAAAAACACAGATCACGAAGAAATGTCAGAAGGACGATGAGTGTTGGTGAAATAATAATGCGCAGCAGATGAAGTTCTAATGTGAAGAAAAACATGAAAACACACCAGTGAAGGTTTCACCTGCACGGCCTCCAGGCTCGTTATCAGAGCCACAGTGGCTGCACGTGAACTTTCATTTGAGGCAAAAGGAGACGTGTGTGATCCCAGCAGTAACAGCAGAGTGATGCAGTGCGAGTTCAGCTGAAAACAAATGAGGTCAAACTTTAATTTTACGCTCGCGTTTCAACGGTTTCTCGGCACATTTATATTTTTGTGTATTCAAAAAGAGAGAGCAGAAAGCGCTTCGGGTCGACTTGTGTTTTCATGTGTGTTGTTTTAATAAAAGCAAAGTTGCTCGATGGCGCTGCAGACGTTGGGTTTTTTTATTAGTGCAAAGACGTGCAGATGTGAGGGGGCTGAAGCCTTTTTTCTGCTTTTACATTAGGAAACTAAATCATCAGCACAGGTTCAAAGCTGATCTCCGTTAAGTACAAACCTCAAGGGGACAAATAAGTACCTCGTGTTAAGGTTCAACAGCAGCACCTCAGAGGGAACCAACCCGGCGAGGAGCCGTTTAACGTGATTATTTGTAAAGTAAATCAAAGACGACTCGCTGCATTTAAATGTGAGTGTATCTGGAGCTGGTTTAAAGTTAAAAACTGGACTTAAATAGACTGCTGGACGTCAAGTTTACATCAGTTTCACTCTGTGGACTCTCAGTAACTCGTGTTTATGTTGTATTTATGTTGATGTGAACGTTATTCATAAAGGTCAAATAGAAAACAAGCAGCTTACGTTCGACTGGAAGAAAGAACGTCGTCTTTACTGGATAGAAAAGAGAAGTGGTTCAGCTTAGCTGTATATCTCAGACCGAGTCTATTTATTTATTTCTTTAACTCCTCGTTTCCTCTGCTGTGCATCCACACACGCTGAAATCTCACTGAGGTTTCTGTGGGTTTAAACCTCCTGTGGAAAAAGTGTGACACGCAGAAATGAGCTGCTCGACTCACGAATGAGATGTTTTAATTTTCCCAGACTGAAACCTGGACACGTGTGCATTAAACAGACATGTTTTCATCCATAAGGACAAGACGGTGTTATTATATGTAAAGCAGTTAACCCTTTACACAGCAGCCAGTCGTTTATGTAATGATGAGAGTTACAATGTGGTTTCTTTGTGAGGCATTTATCAAACTACTGTTCTAATCTCACCTTTGTTCAAGCAGATAAAAATATTCAAAGTTCTGCAGAAATAAAATAAAAAGTCAGGTTTAAAGACAGAAGAAAAAAATGCAGGCATGAAAATAAGCTTGTGTGTAGAAGGCGGGGTGAAAAATCTGCAAAGGAGGTGATTAAATACACAACAAAACCTTGCAGTCCCACCGCCTCACAATGCAAACTTACAAACAGCACAATAAACTCATGTTTGGAGCTTTCTCTGAAATATTCAGCTGAAGTGATGCAGCTTAGCTGGAAGTGATCTGAGAGGGGTCAGAGGTCAGCTGGAAGTTTACCCAGCATCGTTTTGTAGATAAAAATACACCAGCGCTGTTTCCCAAAAACCCAAGAATGCAGTGAGTTAGAGGCGCATGTCATCATGGCGGCAGCACCGACGAGACAAAGAGAATAAACTTTGTTTCACACAAGAAAACACAAAAACTTTATCG